AGAATAGCTCTTCCTGCTTGTGAGAGGAGCTTACCTCGCCAACCTAGTATTTTCGCCCACACCCGACTCTTAACCGGTTTAAGGATGGCAAGTTTGTCCCTGCCAAAAGACATAGGGAGGCCCAAGTACGAACCATTTTCCATCAGTTTGTGGATACCAAAATATCCATTAGCTTTGACTTGCAATCTGACTTTGTATTGAAAAATACTGCCGATTTTTCACTATTTATCATCTAACCGGAGGCAGCTTCATAGTTACGAAGGATTTGTAGTAAACTCGCCCCTACCACCTCCTTTGCGTCTACGAAGAAAATGCTGTCATCTGCAAACAGTAAATGGGAAACCCGCGGACCACTCCTAATTGCCACCCCCTTTAAACTGCCATCAATCTCTGCTTTACTAAGATGACACGACAATCCCTCTACACACAAGATAAAGAGGTAAGGCGAAAGAGGATCACCCTGTCTTCGTCCCCGTGAAGGAAAAATCCTACCTCATGGTTACCATTGATCAAAACCGAGTATGTAACTGTATGCACAAACGTCATTATTAAAGCAACCCATCGTTCTGAGAAACCCAACCACCTCATCAGAGTCTCTAAATAAATCCACTCCACCCTGTCATATGCTTTACTCATATCCAATTTGATTGCCATATGAGTACCTTTTCCCTTTCTCTTGCTTCTCATAAAGTGTAAGGTTTCGAATGCTACCATGGCATTGTCAAAAAGGGATTGACCGGGCACAAAGGCGCTTTGCGTCTCACTGATAATCATTGGCAAGACCATTTTCAATCTATTTGCCAGCAACTTTGAAATTATTTTGTAGACCACGTTGCAGAGACTAATAGATCTGTAGTCCTAGCAGAGTATGGAGATTTTATTTTTGGAATCAACACCAGATTTGTATGGTTAATCTCATGAAGACCTAGATTATCATTGAGGCACATTAAAATAATATTTGTAATATCCTTCCCAATGATATGCCAATACCTCTAGTAACATTGTATTCATCCCATCCGGTCCAGGCGCCTATCCCAGGTTCATTTGGTTGAGCGCATCTTTTATCTCTGCCACCAAAAAATCCTCATCCAGGATCCTATTCATCTCAGGCGTGGCTTTTGCCTCTACCAGCCCACAAAAACTATCTACCCCTTCCATAATGACTTGTTCAGGTTTTTGAAATAATGCAAGAAAACGGCTTCCACGTCCTCCGTATGGTCATACCAGCCCACGCTGTGAAATCTGAAAATAAATTGTATTTACGGTCACCTTCTCTAAGACACATCTCCCTAGCCCGTTGAAGCCACGCCACCTCTTCATGGTGTAAGAGATCATTAAGATCCCTCTTATCTTGCTCAAACTCGTCAGTCCCTTGCTCATGGGATTCCAGTTTTAGCCTCAATTAAGCTATCTTAGAACTCAGGTTCCCGAACCTTGACTTACTCCAAGAAAGTAAATTTCTTCCACATCCCTAGATCACCTGACACAAGTCCTCCATATTTGTTAGCTGTCTATTTCTCCACTCCATGTTAATAATCTCCTCACGCTCTGAATGGCCCATCCACATATTCTCAAATCTAAAAGTCCTGTTACTTCTCCAATTTCCGATGTTTGACTCTCGTAAGCTAAATAACAACGGCAGATGGTCTGAAGTGGTTGACATCAAATGCCTCTCCAACAATGATGGGAACAAGGTTAAAAAATAAGTAACACGTAGTTCCCTATCCAACCTCTCTAGGATTTTTCCTCCCTCTTCCGTTCTAGTCCATGTGAAATTTGACCCCACCATTGGGATCTCTACACAATCACAGTAATCAACAACCCTCCTAAAGTTTTCAATCTGCCATGCAGGCGTTTGGTTCCCACCTTGCTTTTCCTCCTCCGATGAAATCTCGTTAAAATCACCCGCACAAAACCATGGTAACGAACATCTTTCCCTGAGGGTTCTCAGTAACTCCGACGACTCTGACCTTCTATGTGTCTCCAGTCTTCCGTAGAAACCCGTAAATCTCCATTTCCCTTTGTTCTCAACTCCATTTACTATAATATCAATGTGGGCCGTTGAAAGAGACAACAAAAAAGCATCCACCTCCTGCAACCACATAAGCGCCAGTCCCCCACTTCTTCCTACGCAGTCCACTGTTACTGCATTGTCAAAACTCAACCTATACTTCAACCAATCTATTTCATTCATTTTCCTTTTTGTTTCCAAAAGGAAAATGAGTTAGGGTTTATTTTCATTGACTAGCCTGTTCAGCTCATGAACTGCTCGAGGTGCCCCCAATCCCCGACAGTTCCATATCAAGAGAATCATTGCTTTCGGCAGGGTTGGCTCTACCTGCCAACCTCCGCCGATATATGAACCAAATCACCACCACAGTCAGCCTTTCCTTCTTGAGCTTTAACCTTCTTATTCCTATCACCTTCTCCCTCCCGTGTCGCCTTTAGAATCTCATGGATACGTTTCCTTCCAGCATGAGTTTGAGGCCCTGCTAGCGTCTTCCTCCAACTCTCTTCCATTTACGATTTGGACTGCCAATAAGTACTGGGACCTCTGTCAGCGGGCTAAAGGCCCCATCCCCTACCTTCTTTGGGCTATCGAGAACCCGGCCCAAATGGTTTGGTAGTGTTGCATGATAATCACCCAGTTGCCGCCTAAATCAGTTGTCAGCATTTAAAACCCTAGTGCTATCCTTCATCTCTTGCCCTAAAAAAGGGGAATCATCTCTATCAAAACCCTTTAACCTCGCCCTAGTGTCAAGGGCCTGAAGTGAAGTTAAGAATCCTACATTAAGTGAGTATTAGAATTAATTTTAAGATATAAAAACTTATATCATTTTTTTTTGAGATATTTTTTATAAAATAAAATTATGAGATTACGAAAAATTAAAACAGATAATATCTTACAAAGATATGAACTGTGATAGATAGATTAATTTGAAATATCGGATGAATATATGTCCAGGTTCTGAAGCTGCACAAGTTTAAAAGTTGAGTCTCAATCCGTTACAAATGATATCAAAATCAATTCTATTAAATATTAACGATGTATTACCGAAAAACGATGAATCTTCATTAAAGTGGAGGAACATATTATGATCTTGAAATGAAATTAGGAATCTCACATAGGGTGAGTACTAGAATTGATATTGGAATATAAATGTTCACATCAATTTTCTTTTGTGAGGTATTTTTTATAAGATAAAATCGTGAGATATTTTATAAGTATGTAAATCGTAACAGATAGATGGATTTGAAACTTTAAATGAGTGTATGTCTAGATCCTGCAACCATGTACATTTAGAGGTTGAATCTCGTGACGCTAGTCTCTGCCAATAATTCCTGCACCAACTCAGCCCCCATGGAATTTACCGTACTACCATTGCCAGAACATTGGTGGTCGCTGCACTCATTGCTGCCTTCCTTCATCCCTTTCTCCGACTCTGCCATTTTTTATTTCACCCTCATGCGAGTCATGAGGGTAGTATGGCACGGAATTGGGAGAGCTATCCTTCATGATTTTGTTTCCTTTGCTTTCAACCAAGCCCCATACTCTCTCTTCACCTTATGAGATAACCTTCTTTATTGGATGGCCACTGCACACTCATTCTCTGTATGTTCTAGCCTGTCGCACACATAGCAGAAATTCGGTAAATGCTCATATTTGAAAAGCACCATGTGGTTTCCTTCCTTACCCAAACATACCTTAGAGCACCTCATCAACGGTTTATGGACATCTAAGCTTTCCCTTATTCTGAAGAATCTTCCCCAGGCAACCTGCTCATTACTGTGATCAACTTCCTTCACTTCACCTGTGGATTCTCCAAGCACAATACCAACCTTTTCGTTCGTCAAACCTAATGGTTGAATCCAAAAAGACACCAGTTCTTGAATCCAAAAAGGACACCAGTTCATATTTATAGAGTCCAGCAGGATCAAACCATTAAAATCTTTAAAAATAAACGACCATGGTTGATTCACTAACACCCTATCGTTCTCATTCTGATCGTTGAATTGAAAGAGAAATAGCTTTTCCGCTACCTCTTGAATCTTAAACCCCTCCGAGATCTTCCAAATCCTTATAAAGACGTTCTTCATAGCTTCAACATTAATCCCTTTTCTAGACATGCTTTTCCCAAAAGACAGTTCTTCCCTGTCTCTAGAGTAGGCGCCACCCATTCCTTTTCGATTTTTACTTCGTGTTGTTCCTTCCGTGTCAGGGATAACTTCCTCCACAATTCCTCTAGATTTTCCATTAAGAAACCAATCAACTTTAATAAAACGCACCCGCCTAGAAAGACAGAAAACAAAAGAAAACTCTACTAAAACTTGCCGTAGCAAGACATAAAACTCCCACTAAACCCTAGGCAGAAAACCAAAGGGAAACCTAGGAGAGACCTTTTTAACATTTCTATTGATTAATGGAATTAGGCGGGCAATCCTATACCAAACAAAAGTTAAATTTATTGTTTAATTCTATGAAGTTGCTAAAACTTTGAATTTAATGTAAAAAGTTAGTTGTTACCCATTAGCATCGACTGCATATATATTTCATGTTCAAAAAAATAAAATTGGAATCTCTTTTATCTTAAATAATTAATTAGTAATAATGAGTTAGAAGGTCAACTTATAATAGAAAATGAAACCTATGGGAGTTCAGAAGAGTGTCCTACGTTTAAACTCTTGATTTGGAAATTACATCAATTCGAACGAAATTTTCTACCTTATTTATTAGAAAAAAAAGAAATTTTTTTTATATCTTTGGGATTATTAAAAATTGAATCATTATTGTTGAAATTAAAATTCCAATACCTACCAAAATCGAAAAAGACCTCTTCTTCATTAAAGCTAAGAGTTGTAAATCTAAAATCTCTTATGTTTTTTATTTTTTAACCAGGAAATTTGGGCAATAAAAAAGAAAAAACTCATTTTAACTATACAGATGGGCTCAAGATATCATGCAGGTGACATTAACAGGCTTGGCCAGGCCTACTGAAAAACTTGGGTGGAATCTCCTTTGTCAATTCTTTAACTGGATGATTCTAATTAATCTATCTTGTAAATCAATGTATTCGTTACAAAAACTCAAGGAAAGTTATTCTTAGCATTTTAAATTTCTTTCAATGGTTAGAGTTAAACATGAAGCAACAACCTTATTAATTGCCTTTTTTTTTTTGGTTCTATTTTTAAGCCGGAAATCAATCCTCATTACTTGATTTATTCGGCCACCCTTGATCAGCCTGTAACTTCACAAACTCGGCCAGGAGCCTGATTTCATCTTCCTTCAGACGTGGCCCAAACGTGCATTGTCCCCTCGGAGTGCAGCTCTCACCAAACCCCTTCAAACAACCCAAACATATCATGAGAAAAGATACAGCAGTTGTTGTAATAAGCAATGAATATGTCAGATTTCTAATGGAATTCTTACAGGCATTCTTCCTTTGCCAAAGTATGTAACACGGTATATGGCTTCTTCAGTGTCAACTCCATTTCTGTATGCAATTCTTCAATCAATCAGAAATAATGCCTAAAACTAATTTATTTGAATGTTTACTCAGAGAAAACCACCAAGAATTGAAGAGGTTTGCAACTAAATTAAATGAGCGAATACCAAAATGTTCCAGGTTCCAGGTTCATTTACACCAGAGTTTTTCGCTATAATTTCTTTGAAGGGTATCTAATTCAAGAACATATGTTTGTCCGCATTCTTTTCTATGTATTCTACTGCTGATGAACAAAGACATCGGCCAGATTACCTTTGTAGGTCCTTTGTAAAGAGTGTTGCCCCCTAAAATGAACACGGAACAGTGGATTAGAGAGGAAATCGTAGAAGAGATAGTGATCTTCTGTACTTGGTGAAATAGAAAAAGCGTCTCACCGGTTGAATTATGTTTCCACCTCCATCATGACACCCGATACAAGCCTGTCCAAACAATGTGGCTCCTCTCTGTATATCTACTGTTTGTGCAAGAGCTGCACCATGAAAGATGCATGCTTGTAAACATTAATTCTGCATGCATTCTGATCATCATATGTTCATAGTTTGGAACAAAGAGTTCATTGGACCATCCGAAAGAAAATCATTTTTAGCAAAAAATTATTCTCAATAATCAGAATCATGACAGATTTTAAGCAATGAAAAATGTATTGGGATAGAGAAGGACAACCAATTTGTGCAACCGAAACGATAATTTCGGATCAAGTGCCATATGCTACAAAAAAAGAAGTAGATAATGAAACCAATCAATTGTATGGTATTGGTGGGATTACGTACCTGAGGTGTTGCAGATGGGAGATAAGGCTACGAGTGCAGCAACTAGAGGTGGAGCCAAGTTCTTGAAATGTATTTTTTGTACTTGTTCGATCTGGTTCAGCTTCAAGGGAGCTTGATTTGCATTAACCTGTGAACACCCTCATTAATTTTGTTTCACTTCCTTTGATCAGTTGGCAAGAACTTGTATATATACAAATGGAGAAAGAAAGGGATAAGTAATTACCTTTACTTGGAGTTGGAGACTGCCACCAGACACAGCAGAAAGAATCTGCATTTCTCCCTACCTCTCTGTTTTAGTGTTTGAGAGAAATGGAGCTGCCTCTGCTGCTGCTGCCCAAAGAAGCTATCAGTTCAAAGTGAAATTATCCAGACCAAGCAATCTTGCCCAACCATTAGTATGCTTTGACTTGCCTTCTAGTAGATTTCTATACTGGCCTGGATTAAGATTGCAAAAACACCAAAAATTCCCCGTTTCTTTAATTAAAATTTTTTATTTGGCTAATAATGAAGAATAGAAAGATAGGTATAGGTGGACGGATAGAATTCGCAGGCCCCACCTTTATCAAAGTTGAAACGTCGTTTTTGGTCTTGCCTTGTTTCGGATGTGGACGTGTCGAAAAAGTCTGACCAATCATAACACAATCGTATTTGTACGTAGCTGGTACATGACCAGAAATACAGTTTCTTCTTCGTTCTTTCTTTCTTAAGCCCTGTGAAAGTAAATGGGTTGCGTGGCTCCGCTGTCTGCCCTTTAACTCCACGTGATAGACTTCTCTCACCCAAAATCCCAAACCTTTAAAACTCAATAAAAGAACAAATTTTCCATACTAATTTCATACTTCAGAAAGGTTTCATCAGTTTTTTTTTTTTAATTTTAAATCGGCAAATATGTATAGGCTGTGATTGGGGATGGCGGTGTTATTGGAAGACATTGTACAATCAGTGGAGATGTGGTTGAAGCTGACAAAGAAACCGCAACCCTACGTTGACCCGAATCTCGACCCGGTTTTGTTAGTTCCGGGTATTGCCGGGTCGATTTTGAATGCCGTGGATTCTCAGAATGGGCAAGAAGAGCGCGTATGGGTTCGGATTCTCGGTGCTGATTATAAGTTTCGGACCAAGCTCTGGTCTCGTTTCGATCCTTCTACTGGTAATTCTTTTTTTTTTTTTTTGCCTAAAAGAAATTTAGTGGAATTGTTGAAAAGATCTCTTTTTTTTTTTTTGTTGTTGAAAAACTCTAAATTGAATTAATTGCAAAATTTTTTTTTTGATGATAGTAAATTATGTAATTTTTTTAATTTTTGTTTTGAAATTAAGTGGAGTAATTATGTTATTGTTGGTTCATTGGTTGTGAAACAGGTAGAACTGTATCCTTAGATCCAAGCACAAGTGTTAAAGTTCCTGAAGAAAGATATGGACTTTACGCCATCGATGTCTTGGACCCTGACATGGTATAAATTTTATTCCTTACCATCATGTAATGCATGATCAAAGAAGTTTTTTGGATATTACCTTAAAAAGTTGAAATATCTGGTCCTTAACTAAAGCTAGACTTCGTTTTGTATTTAGTATTTTTTCAGTAAAAACAAGACATGGATACTGTAATGTTAAGGGAACTAAGTCCTTCCTTAAGTTTGTATGGAAGTTAATGATCTGAACTAATGATGGGTTTCAATGAACTCTTTGTTTTCATTCAGATCATCGGACGCGAGTGTGTTTATTACTTCCATGATATGATTGTTGAAATGATCAAGTGGGGTTTTCAAGAAGGGAAAACTCTTTTTGGCTTTGGTTATGATTTTCGCCAAAGTAACAGGTATAATCATATATTTATTGATTAATGCATTAATTATTTCTCTTTCTAATGTAGGATGGTGGCCTTATTTGTCCTTGTAATTTATAGATTTGTTTTCAATGTGTTGATTCTTGTTTTTCTTTTAGGTTGCAAGAAACATTGGATCGCCTGGCAGCAAAATTAGAGTCGGTGTACAAAGCTTCAGGAGGGAAAAAGATAAATATCATAAGTCATTCTATGGGCGGCCTTCTGATAAAATGTTTCATGGGCCTTCACTGTGATGTAAGGGATCCAACCCCATCTTCTTCTATCCCCTTCTTTTTCTGCTTTTACCTTTTTCTGATTCTTCTCTTTTCTCATATCAATGTATGGTTTAGTACTGTACCTCTTTGTGATACAATGCTGCTTTTCTTGTGCAGATTTTTGAGAAATATGTGAAGAATTGGATTGCAATTGCTGCACCATTCCGGGGTAAGTGGTCTTTATAACTTGAGTTGAGTGCAAGACATTTAATAGTTTCAAATCATCAATTGCCCAAAAGGAAACTGCAGAATCGTACAATAGTACCTGGATTAAACAAATTCAATTTTAAATATCACATAAGATGTATTAGATTGTTATCTTTTAACTATATGATGTTGAATTTGCCCAGTGCATTTCTTTAGCTACTGGATATCTGAAAACCAAAATGTCAAAGTATTGGATTTATAAGAGAAATTACTATACATAGTAATGGATCCTAGGATGAGTTTTTTCTTTCTATTTTCTTTTTGAAGAATGTGATAAATTATACATTTGTACACCTGCCCACCCACCCACAGGTATTCTAAAATGAGAATTATCTTTTATATGTTTCATTGGAAGCTATCTTAAGATTACTCATGGAAAGTATAGGACAATGCAGTTTCATTAAACAATGGCTTGCAGTTTCCTTGACTATCTTCTTTCTCTTTATATGTGTTCTATAATAGTTTTTTATAGACGGAATGTGAAACATACAAGTTTCTATGACTAATCATATACTGGATTGTCAGTCAAATCTTGCTTCAAAATAACTTCATATGCTTAAGATCTGGTTCAATTTCCTTCACTAAAAGATTCAGTAGTTCAGGCAAAAAAGAGATAGGATCTAGTAGTTAGACAGCTGGATTTACTTTTGATTCAAGTTCCTTATTGAGATGCAATTTGAATGTTTCCAACAGGTGCACCTGGATATATTGCTTCTACCTTTCTAAATGGAATGTCATTTGTTGATGGGTGGGAACAGAACTTTTTCATTTCAAAGTGGAGCATGCATCAATTGGTATGTGATTATGTTCTAATTACTTTTTTCAGTTTCAGCATTTCTACTTAAATGCCCGTGAGGGCATGACCTCTCTATTGGTATGTCCATTGCTTGTGAATGTTTTTGAGAAGTTTATTTCTGATTAGATTTTTCTTTTTGTTTAGAGTGTTAAAATGTCTCATTCTCACCTAATTCTGACCCCAATTCCTTGCTCTGTATTTTATGTGCTTATTTATTTTATTTTAGACTCAAGTGGCTGAAATCTGCTGCTACCAGTTACTTGGGGTTTTATGACTAAAGCTTCTAGACTTGAATCTAAGTGGTTACTTTTAGGCCAAAACTTTAGATTGGTAGTCCTAAAGGATACTGAAGGTGCTTCCTTTCCAGTTCGTCATACATGAGTAATATCTAATGAAGTTTAATCTATAGTTGACTGTTGCAAGTGATCCTTCTCCACACTGCCTTAATTAGATGGAAGATTATGTTTGCGATATGGTACACACAGTCCGTAGGTGCAACATGCTAGTGTCTCGAAATGTCTATGTAGAATTTGTTCTGCCTATGTTTTTTCTTGATTGTTGTATTTGCGGTGATTCAAATTATTTAGTTCTGTGATGCATCATTCAGCTGATTGAGTGCCCATCGATATATGAGTTAATGGCTTGTCCGCATTTCCATTGGCAACATATTCCACTTCTTGAGATCTGGAGGGAGGAAGAAAGTTGTGACGGAATTTCTCGGATTATTCTAGAGTCCTATCGCCCAGGAGAAAGCATTGATATTTTTAAGGAAGCTCTTTCAGGCAACTCGGTAAGCTATGAACTTTGCTTGTGAAAAAAGGAAGTTGTTAATCTTAGGTTGACTCCATTGCCAAAAATAAATAAATAGAAAATGAAAAGCTTCATAAGTACCTTAAGATCAAATAGGGAGTTTGTCTTCAATTAAGGGTCTAAGCAATTTCATGAGTAGTTTTTGGTCTAAGATATTTGTTATATGGTTCATCTGGAGTAAAATTGCTTGCATTTTGTAATTTCAGGTTGATTATAATGGGGAGAATATTCCACTACCCTTCAATTTGGAGATTTTGAAATGGGCTAAAGAGACACACAAGGTGCTGTCTCATGCTAAGGTTCCTTCTGGAGTTAAATTCTACAATATATATGGGATCAATCTTGAGACACCACACAGCATTTGGTAATGCCTCTATTTGATTGTTTTGTTGAAAGTGTTCCATGATTATTTTTGTTTCAGTTACAAACTTTATACTACAAGTTTTTGTTTCCTGGTTTTTTTTTTTTTTGTTTTTTATCTTTCACAATTTTGCAGCTATGGAAGTGAGGAGACACCTGTCACAGATATACTTGATTTACCGTTTTTTCAGGTGATTTTTGTTGTTGAAGGCTGCTCTCATAGTCATGCTGTAATTCTAGAGACTACTTCCTCATAACTTCATATTTCTTCCTTTTTTTTTTACTTATAAAGAAAAATTTTTCATATGCATCTTTTGTATTCACGGATTTGGTTATTGACACTGACTTTCCTCTGCATATCAGCCCACATATGTATGTGTTGATGGTGATGGAACAGTTCCAGCAGAATCAGCTATGGTTAGCTGACTCCCTTTCTTATATATCTTTCTATGATTTTATTATTTACCATATTAATTGAACTATGAATAATGCCTTAAAAGCCTCACTAACTATTGTACTTCTCATAACTCGTGGAGGATGCTCATCTTTTACAACTGTTATAAAATTCTTGTGAATTACGTATAAAGTAAATCCATGTCCTGAATGTGTCTATATGAGTCACCAAGAATGTTGTGGTGACTACAGGCTTTGGATTTCAAAGAACCTCATCCTTGAAAAGGAAGGTCATTATTAATGTAACAGAAATTCAGAATAACTGTTTTGAGTGATAAATATGAATTGTGAAGCAGATGATCAAAGCCATCATTAATTGATTTTCTGCATGTCCTTGTTTTGTTTTTGGCATACTGGTATTGCTGCATGTCCAATTCTTCTTTCTGAAAAGAAATCTAGTTGTCTATTGTGCAAATGATATTAAAAATGAAATGGCAGTATCTCTGACTTTGCTTTCATTCTTGTTACTTTCAGGCAGATGGACTCCATGCAGAAGCAAGGGTTGGAGTCCCTGCTGAGCACCGGGGAATTCTTTGTGAACCTCATGTATTTCGAATTCTCAAGCACTGGTTGCAGGCAGGTGATCCAGACCCTTTCTACAACCCAGTAAACGATTATGTGATTTTACCGACAGCATTTGAAACGGAAAGTCACCATGAGAAAGGCTTACAAGTTACTTCACTCAAAGAGGAATGGGAAATTGTTTCTGAAGATCAAGACGATCCTGATGATATGGCTAGTAGAAGGCCATTTGTTAGCTCAATATCTGTTTCACAAGGGGGAAATATGCAATCCTCAAGGTCTGAGGCTCATGCAACTATCATTTGTCATCCGCAAAATGAAGGTAAGCAACGCCTTGAGCTAAATGCTGTAGGTGTCTCTGTTGATGCCTAGAATTGGATTGTTGAACTCAATGAAAGCAAGTAAAGCCCTCTTCTGTTTTTTGTAACTGTTGTATATTAAGTGCTCATGACCTTGAACTCGAACCATGGTTTTATTCAATGGTGTAAGATGTATAAATGCATTTGTACATAATAATAAACTGCTATATTGTTGAACTTTGGTATGAGAGCAATGGATTTGCAATGCCAAGTGAGTCGAGCCACATTGTACTTCTGATTTCTGAAGTGAAGAGCAAGGATGTGGAAAATAAACCCAAGTAAGCCTCTTTTTGACAAAAAAAATTATTACAAGATACAATAAACTACAACATCTGTGATCATAAATCCTAGGATACTGTCTACTTCTAACCAACGGTAACCGGATCTGCACGTTCAAAGTCTTTGATAAGAAATTATCCATTTGGGAAATAATTACAGTAGCACTTAGGGTATGGGATGAGAACTTCATTTGGACCACTTGAACTCAGGTTTTTAGCTCTCTTGATCAGTAAAATTGGGGCTCTCAAGTTCACCCATGCTTGCAGAAGCAAATGATTCCAAGGATTCTACTGATGACAAGGAAGAAGTATCATCAGAATCTGAGACGACGTCATCATGTAGAATGATGTGCTCATCATCAACTTCAGATGTGTCTGAGCCAGATGGTCCCATTAGCTTGTTTATTGCGGATTTTGCAGTTTCAACAAACCATTCGTCCACAGGGAGTGCACTGACAAGATAAAAGTAATTTTAGTTGCCAGAAGAAACTAAACCAATCCTGCAAAATGGGAAGGATGAGTACCTTTCCACGTCTCTGGCAGTGAAGGTTCTGATTGCGCGAGCAGTAATGGCTGATGCAATCTGGTGCACATGCCGAGATGGGTAACCCGCGAAACGAGCTATTTCAACAGTGAAGTGCATATCAAGAATTAACTGCCAAAACAAAGTCATATAAGAGTTTGACAGGACAGTGGCAGCATTATAGTCATAGATTACAATGCAAAATCAAGTGCATTCTATTGGTAACTTGGCTCCATATGAATACCTTGAGGCCTAGAACAAAACAGATTATAATCCTTCAACATTCGACATGTACTTGCTACAGATTATTTACCATCTAGAGGCACACGGGGCATAAACAAATGCCATGTGGCATTGAACAGAATAAAAATTGACAGAAGCTCATGTATCATGGATAAACTACTCACTTCTATAAGCATAGTAAATGAATGACAGCAAAATCTACAGAAAGAAATAGTTGGAAGGTGATCCGATCAACAAAAACCAAAGCCTATTACTAAATATGACATAATAAAAATGAATTTTTGCAAAGGCAGCAGAAGATGATGAGACAAGGATAAAGACACCATTTGAATTATTCAGAACACAAAACATAGCTGACAATGAGTCACATCTTTGAGTTCACAGCTGCAGTTGTTTATCTAAAACACGTATACTTTGCTTCCATTTTCGCTTTAACAAAATATTAAAATTCTAAATCAATCCTACAATTCTATGGTAGAAGAGAGACTTATTAAGCATACAATGATAAACTTTCAAAAGTGAAAATAGTCAAAAGGTTATAGAAAGGCATGGGAACAAACAAAAAAGATGTCATCGAAAGAAAAATCATACCTTCTGCAATCCAAGTGGCTGAAGTGGAGTGGATTTATCCTCAAACACACCCCAGAATTCCTGCTCATCAGATAACCACATTAGAACAGTCTCTGTCAGTCTTGCAAGCAAAATTTTTTGCAGTTTCTCTTTTCCAAGTAGCACATCTCCAGCTACAGTTGCTAACTGCTGTAGCTTTGCAAATAATGCCTGCAAAGAATTGGCAAGAGATAATTTCAGTCAAGAAATATGTAATATGTCCAAATTTTGCATGGATGGATGTCGGATAAGTCCTCACATGCCAATATAGAAAAACAAGTTTCTATTGACACCTCAAAGTGAAATTTATAAATACAGTTTCTTATGTGGGATAACAAAACACATTGTACATGCAAGCCATTAAAAATATAAACACATTATGTTGCATACAATTTGCATTTTAATGCACTGAAGAAAAAAGTGAGCTCGCAATTTAATTCCTATTCACACACTAAAATAGATTAATGAATTACCTCCATTTAAGAAACCAACAGATGTTAACATTTAATCAGATAAACAAGGCATTAAAAAGTGCAGGGAAGATTCTTAAGAAATTACAGATAAGACAATATAACTAGATATTCTAGAATTAAAATTATGAAAATCTTTTATTACCTCAAGATATAATGACTATCTTAATTCTAAAGATAAAAAAGAATAAGCTTAAAATGGAAAGCACAAGAAACTCTTCCCTGCGTGGCATCTAAAGAAGGTGGAAGAAGTCTTGTGCAGTAAGGGATGTTAGTGAGATTACCTGAAATGGCAAAGAAGGCAGAGTGTCCCATTGTGAGTCTTCTCCATCTCCACTCAAATAAATTTGTGCATTTAATCGTGTTTTATCTTCTCTTGAATAGATGAAACTCAAAACATATTGCCTGCAAAAATGATCTCTAAGCTTGTCAAAAGAGTACTGGAGCTGGCGCCTCCAATCTTTTAATTCTGTAGTTGTGCTTGCATTAGGAACAATGTTTTCATTTCCTGGTTCCTGGTTTTCACTCTTTGGGCTCCAAATTTTAACCACCTTACTAGGTAACAGTTCATCCATAATTGTAAATGCTATCCCCAGAATAGCTAGTTGCTCTGAGTCTGTTTCAGCTCTAAAAGGTATGGTCTGTTTCAGCTCAGTAAGACTGTCATCATCGGAAGGGCCAGGCAGGGCTTTAATTAGTGCATCCATATACTTATCAAACAGCTGTGAAATTCTAGGTAGCACGTTTCCTCCAAAATGCGAAACAGCCAGTGGCGTAAGCTGTTCCAAAATATCCTGTTGATGGCATTTTAACTTCAGCATTGTATCACTCAAAACTAATTGAGTAGCAAGAGAACAGCAAATTCATTGTTTCAACTTCTTGGAAACAGACATACAGAATATTCTATGCTTTGCATTTATTGCATGCACAAAGAAATTTATGAATAAAACCAACAATGTTAAAATTTAAAACATTCTATATGCTAATTGGTTTTGTATGCAGATAAAAGCACACATAATTGCACCTTCATGTACAAAAAGACAAGTGCATGTGCACCAAGATGCAGCTACAAAGCAAGGGAATATGTGTTTGCAATGCGAATTCAATCAACTTACATTAATTAAGTACCACCTATAGAGCCATGCAAGTGCAGAGCAATACAGGCCATCCTTTAGAATACAGACGGAGTCCATCTAATAGACTCAGTTTAAGTCACAAACAAAGCCAAAACCACACAAACATTAAATTATCCTAGAACTATTGAAAATATTTTGTTCAGCATTTCCATACACGCTAACATATAGAAACACACAGAGCTATTTCATGATGTAGTATTGATGCTATTGGAGTTATATAGAACCTGTGTGCATATGTGTTGTAGTTACTTTTTGTGTTTCTTAATGTAACTTCCATCTGCCAATAAAAGGCTAAGGGATAATACTTAAAACTAATTAACTAAACAAAACCAACACACACAAAAGATAAGCAGGCAAACATGAATACAAAGCTTAAGCAAAGGCATAAATAGCCAGCACCCATATGTAAATTAATTCTAGAATTTCATATTGAGATGCTTCTTTTGTTCTTATCTTACTCTATAATGGCTCACCCACTTTTTCGAACACTTCCTCAATGTGATTTAACTCGATAAAAAGTAGCTAAGATCTACAGATTACTTCTTCAAAATCCTAAATTCAATCATATTCCACAAAATAATTTCCCCATTTTTCAGCCTCTATCTCTAGAAAAGTATCAGTTTTAGGTCACAATTGCTTACATCTTAACATTTTTTAATGAGTTAGGGTACTTATGGTGGTAGAGGTGCAAAGACATAAAACAAAAAACATTTTAAACATGGAAGAAAGACCAACTTACAGCAATAATATACAAAAATTTCATTCCACTATCTACTAGCACAGTATCTGAATAAGTTGCAAAAGCTGACAAAGAAGACACAAAGTGAGGTGACAGATGCCAGTTCTCATCAACTTCCATTGAGTCAAAAACAGCCTTTCTAGCCCTCCTAAAATTCAACTCCAGCACTTCCTCAATATATGGACGCAAGAGCACCAGAAGAAACTTTGATAGTTTCAACCCTTGTGATTCCAGCATTGAGCAGTAGTTAAGGCTATCCTGAACACAAATGCTAGCTGCACGTAAAGCAGAAATTGTTTCTGAAGATGGTGCATTGTCCTTTACCAAACGTACAAAAAATTCAATTTCCCACTCTGCCCACTGAACAATTCTATTGGTATAGACAGGATTGTCACCAAATATCAAACCAGATTCTCTTGTTGTCATTGAGATCATGGAAAAGACAAGCCTAGAAAGTGTGGCAGGAAATGTCTTTGGGCAGACAGAACATGAAGGAAGAAAAACCTCAATGTTTTTCTGCAGGCGGGAACCACTGGATTTCAGGAGTAATTGATGCGCTGAAGGACCTTTCCCAAGCTTAATTAAACCAGATAATGCCTTCTTTAGTTCATTAGCACCAACTCCAGGCTGTTCAGCTATCTCAATAAGCTGATCCTCAAGCATTGCTTTCCTTTCTAGAAAAGAAGACTTGTAGGAGGACACTTCAGTTGAAGAATCTCCAGAAACTTTTAGCTCAGGGAAGTTCCTTTCTTCAGCCTCTAAAGCCTCCAGTGCTTCTTCAACTATATGTTCAGCCAAAAGAACATCAATTTTCTCCAGGAATGTTTTCTTTTGATCATCCATTTCATTAAGCAAGGGATCTTGGACATCTTCAACTTCAGCGTCTGGTTGTGTGTCATTAATATCAGCATTTTCCCGGTTCCACTCTTCCAATTCACGACACACCCCAGTCATTAGATCCTGCACAATAATCCCTTGAGAAGATATATGCTTTCGCAGCTCAGCCAACTCATGCTCCATTTCAACAACTTCTTCAGACATTCTACAATTACCATTAAAATCAATCATACTCATTCAAATATATAAAACAATAATTAGAAGTTAGAATCTTTTCAACTTCATTTTCATTTATCATAAAAAGGTAAACAGGAACATTTTAATTTTACCTCAAGAAAGACAAGTATTCTGTGCGCCCATTCCCACATAAGTTTTCCACAGCATCTTTCAGATCCAAAAGCTCACAACAAAGTTTCCTGATCCCCTGCATTATCAAATTATCCAAAATTACATGCTACACTAACAATAAAGAACATGGGTAAATGTCAAATCTGGTGAACATGGTTGAAAACAGGTAAAACCGTACTCGTAAAAGAAGAAACTTGGGGCAGGAAAAACAAGGGAAAAATAGAACTTTTCCAGTGCTTAATTAATAAAGCATATAACAATACATGATAAATTATCCACAGTTACAATTCCATCAAATAAATAGGTGATTTTGATTGATTTAACTGATTGCCCAGAAACCCAAGCAATGAAATCCCTGGGAAGACCTGTATTGTACTTCCTAGATAGAAAAACACAGAAAACAAAGATTAAAGCACTAATTTCCCTGAAATTTGACTAGAAATAGAACCAACCCACATTCAAGTGAAAAATCTACACTAAATAAGATAATTATAAAACGAAGTTCAGGTAGAGAAATGGGCAACAAAGCATAAAAAACCCAGAACTTTGAATCTAACATATAAAGTTTGAAACAAAAGAAAAAGGCAAAAACAAAGAAAAAAGGAACTCCTTTTCTTAACAATTTCTTGGGAAAAAAAGCCAAAAAAAGAAAGGGATAATGCAGGGGTTAGGGAAAAAAAGACCTTTTCAGTATGAGATTGATGAACAGAATCAATCTTGGACTGTGGAGTGATGCTCTCGATAGATGGGAAGTCATCATCTTCTTCACTACTCTCCATTATTCAATCAATATATGTTTCTTCCAATGTGGAGCGAGACTGAAAGTCTGAATTAATGATTTTATTGTACAGAGCAAAGAGAAAGAGGTTGAAACGAGAAGCAGTATCAAGCAAGACGGAAAAGGTCACAGTTTGGTGAGGACCAAGGAGCAAACAGCAAAAAGAACCATGTTAATATGTTGTTGGCTTTTGTCCCTTTCAAAATGTGTGGGTTTTGATTCTTGACTATTCTAAGTAGTTCTGTTTTTAAAATTTTTCTGTGTCCACCTAGTGTTTGTTGAATGTGGCATGTTGATTGGCTATAAATTACCGTTGGGTATAGATAGTGACAGTGGGGGAAGTGATTAGAAAATTAAGAAAGATTTATTAAAATTTTAATAATATGATTTATACGTATACTAACTTTTATTATTCTTACTAGCTTATATAATCATAATGGTCGGTGAAATTTATAATTTTTTTAACTAAACTTATATACTAAAACCTCCTTATTTAATTTATTTAACATCAATTAAAAATTTTTTGTTTAGGGTTTATGTGCTAGAATAAGGTTAAATTTACCATTTGAAATTATAGTTGTGAATTTACGACTATTTTTGTGAAATTTATCTAAGAAAACTATTGGTTTCACTGTGTTCTAAGGTTGCCGTCTTAGCTCAGACGGTAGAGCGCGTGGCTTTTAACCACGTGGTCGTGGGTTCGATTCCCACAGACGGCGACGATTTGGTTATTTAGAATTTTCCTTTAAATGCTAACTTCATTTGTATTTTTAACTATTATTTGTGTCCAACCAGCCAGAGAGAAAAGAAGATAATGCTGGTGATCCACTGCTACGCATCAGCACCTTACCTCCGTGCTCCCCACCATCCCACCCTCCATTACCTTCTCCGGAAAACTCCACCAGCATCACTGATCATCTCTGCAACCTGTCCTCATCCCATATCTCCTACAACAGCTAGTACAAGGAGAACGTTAGTTGTGTCTATAGCAGTAACCACCAGTTTTTCTACATTAATCTTGTCACTCTATGCTTCTGCTCCTTCAAAATCAGCCATTAACACCGACTTCTTCGACCTCCCTAACTCCGGTGGTGTCAAGGCCTTAGACCTCCGTGCTGGCACCGGTGCAACTCCCGTTGATGGAGACCAGGTCCTTCTTCTTTTCATATATACTCTTTATTCAAGCAATACTAGAATTTAATATTTTTGCATGCTAAAATGCATGCACTCAATTAGTCAGATGTGGTTTTAAAGGCCTTTTTGCATGTTATAAATGTATATATATAAAAAAAAAAAGGTTGCAATACATTACTATGGAAGGCTGGCAGCAAAGCAAGGATGGCGGTTTGATTCCACTTATGACCATAAAGATAGCACTGGAGAACCAATTCCCTTTGTCTTCACCCTTGGCTCCGGGAAAGTAAGTTTCTCAAAACATTCAACAGGTTTTTATTCTTTCTTTCTGTTTTGTGTTTTGATTAAGGGTTAGAGCCAAAATATGGGATTGAATATGAATTACAATTTGTGTCCATATAGGCGGGTGGCATTCATTAGAGCCCAACTAAAATGGTTTTCAAGTTCAGCAACATTTTATTTCATGTATCACCCACTTTCTAATCCATATGAATACAACTTTGATTTATGGTTAAGAGATAAGCCAAAATTGTATTATATCGGTCAACTTTGAATGTTTCTGTGCAGCCATTGAGTACAGCGGTCACTTGGACTAAAAATAAATAAATGTAGGTCATTTCTGGGATTGAAGCAGCTGTCAGATCAATGGAAGTAGGTGGTACTCGTCGAGTTATCATTCCTCCGTCACAAGGATATCAGAACACTTCGCAGGAGCCTATTCCCCCTAATGTATGTACAATGTTCTTGCCAATTTTTTATTTTTTATTTTTGAAGCGATTAATATTTGAATTATAGACACTGAAATTAATCAAGAGTCTAACATTACCTGTAGCCGACATCTTTTCACTGAACTTTTACATTTACAAGTCTGATTTATGTTTCCAAGCCATCACGAGAATATACATAAAACATTGGCCAAAAGGAGAGAGAGAGAGAGAGATCCTCAGCTCTGATGAATATGTATGAGTTATGATTTTTTTTTGGTCCAATTTCACTATAGGGTGAGTTTAGGGGGAAAAATAAAGTGGAAAGCATTTATGATCTCTTTGAAAATGAGAGGCCGAGTAGTATTGAAAGTAATGTCAGGACAAGGACCAAGGAGACTGCTGGATGGATTGGATCTACTGATAGAAATATAGATTCATCTTCTTGATTCCTTAATGAAGACACTTGGATTTGAACTCTTTCATGATAACCGATTTTTTTTTTAATAAAAAAAAGTGAAGATATGCTTAGAAAAAATAATAATTAGAAGAGATATTTCAGTAATTTATATATTTCAGCTGCTACTTCTAGATAAACTGACAGGAACACATTCTAGCTTATGCAAATACTAAATCGATGAATTTTTAATTAATTTATGTAATCATTTTTAAAAGATAACATTCAGTAATTTAATGGTTTAATATTTGAATTTTAATATTGCAACCTCTTGTATTATTTCAATTTCCAAGGCAGCCTCTTTGGTAAAAAGAAAAAAAATTGTTACAAAGATTTATGTTTGATATATTATTAGTGTATAGATTTTATATATTATCAATAAATAAGATGATATCATCTTATTAATAAAGTGAATTAGATGATACCACTCCATTAATAACTAAATTTTTAAAAAAAAATATTAATTTTTATGTATTTATTTTAAAAAATGATATTTGTTCATTAATTATATGACATCATTTTATTTACTTATAGCATGTAAGATTTATATAGTGACAATGTATTAAATATAAACTAATTGCTACAATTGCTAGAGCGTGATTAAAATTAATGTTTCCTTTACTTTGACGTGGTTTTCTTGGCTATATTTTTTTATCAAGTTGTTATCACTTACCATTATTTACTTGTCTTGTGTTATGCTCTAGTTCTTTGATAGGCAGAGGCTGTTTACCACCATTTTCAATCCAACCCGTCTTGCGAATGGAGAAGGCTCAACATTGGGTACCCTAATATTTGATATTGAGTTGATCAGCCTAAGGCATCCGGAGTAACTTCTATGCATCCAGATTCTTGTTATAGTTTTGGAAACCAAAATTATATATCCCACTCAGATGTCTCATTTATTCCTTAGTTATCCAAACATATATTCAGTTCAAGCAGCTGCGTTTTATTGCAAACGTCCAGCATGGAGATTATTACTGGTAAATGCAGGTATTTCACTTCCTCTGCTTCTTGAACCATAGATGAAGGAATCAGTGAATCGCTTTAGATGTCTAGCAAGACAAAAGTTATGTATTTTGATTATATTACTTCATTTGAACATGAGATTTCTTGTCCTGTTTTCTATATGGCCAATTACAGCTGGCCTAATTTTTATTATGGCTTGAAACTATATGTAACTACAATATGCAATTCAATCTTTGTAAATTGCAGAGACTTTATAATTTTGATGCCAGGAAGATTGCACTGACAAATTCCCCTCCCATGGGGTGCATCCGTCTTGAGAGAGAAACACATTTATGTGCTGATAATTGTGTTTCCTCATCGAATGATCTAGCCAAGTTAATATAACTCTAGATTGAACAGCCTGCTCCAAGAACTTACAATCAGTGGTGGATCTACACTGTGACGTAGGAAAAATTTTTTGAAGGAAAACTTTTCTTTGGAACCTCTGAAATTTTTTCACGGGCATTCCTTTGATCAATAAAATTGATAAATTTATCGATAATTTTATATATATTATAAGTGGATATCTTCGAAAAAATATATATGTATAAGTCTGTCACCGGTTACTACAAATCTTTCAAGATCAACATTTGTTCATGTCGATGATTATGCGATAACAGAGCATATCTTACGCTACTATACATCATACGGTGATTCACATTTTTCTTGATTTTGACATTAATTAGATTAAAATTGGAATTTGGAATGACTTCAAACCAGTAACATATATACGCCCTCACCATTGTAACCTCGGTGGCATTAACTGGTGGGGACAAAACCAATCAAATAAAGCTTTTGCTAGCACTTTTGTTTCTACCAAGCTTTTATTAACTCCAATGGAGGGCCAGTTCTCTGTACCACACAACAGTAACAACATGTGCATCTTGTCCACAATCTGGTTCAAAAGAGATGATTTTGCTTGTCCAAATTGTCAAGTGTCCCACAAAATATCATCAAAGATTCAATGTTATCGAATATCAACTTCGGATCTATATGCAGAAATCTAAAACTTTGTCATTAAGAAACGAATAAATCATCTACGAATAATGGTTGGTATTTGCAAACATAGCATTATTAAAGATAAAGAGCCTTCACCAATAAAGATGATATCCAGTATTAATATTAAACTTTCGGTTAAATGGTTTAATTTTTTTTCCTACCACTTCACTTTTACTGTATTAATTATACAGTACTACCTATAATGTGATGCCGACATAAATGTTAGATTTAAATTGAAAATTTACAGTTTGATCACTCGAATATTGTTCTTGAGATAATTTCAATGAATCCAAAAATTACGATTTTATAGAAAAGAAATCGAGAATAAAGAACTCAGGGAAGATTTAGGGCTGAAATTGCAATTAAACCATTACTTCTCAGGGGCCATTGGAGTAATGTTAAAGCTGGTATGGTAGCATAATGTTTATTTTGAAGTCGGCCACAAAGTTGGACCCGGTTTGATATTAGTGTGGCAAAGTATATGTTTGTATAGTGATGCTATAGCCGACTTTTTGTCGTCTTTGAATATTGAGATAGGAAAAATAATAAATCATTTTAAAACTTGATTATCTTAATAATTCGATTAAAATATTTATCTTTAAAATTTTAATTTGTCACATTCTCTTCAAGTTTTGAATCATGATTTATAGTTTATACCATAAAAAAATAATCTATTGTGGCGATATTAATAAATTAAAATATTTTAAAGATTATCTTTCACTTCTTGACCTAATGATTAAGAGATTTTAAGAAAGATATATGAACGTGAATTCTAATCTCGTCATCCTTCTTCTTTTTACGTGTGTTTGCCTTCCATTGAATAAAAAAAAATATTTTAAAGATCATGCTTGAATTTTTTTTTTTTAAAATTAAGATGTGAGAAGGTTATTTTATTTCAAGAGTAAAATATATAATATTTTTTTATTAAAATATTATAAATTATTTATTAAAATAAATTATTGATAACAAAAATTAAATTTAAAATTTACAAGCGAAATATTTAATTTTTATGATTGTTATCAATCTCTTTTGGCAAAAGTACGCTTGTATTGACTATTTATTTTTCTAAAAATGTGGGTTTTTTAAATAAAATTGAGTCATTTAAATAAAATTAATATAGCTCAAAAAAAAATGGTCATAGGCGCAGAGCTAAGAGCCGAAATTCGAAAGATATGGGGCCTATAAAACATACAAAATGGTATTATTGGCTATGGACCATATGTATATCTCTAACCCTAATGTACACTACTTAGGCAGCTTATAACTTCCATGAAAACAGACATTTTTTTTTTAATTTTTTAGTATGTTTTAAGAAAAATGTGTTATCTTATTAATTCTCTTTGTGATGTATAAAAATTCCATTGACAATAAATAACTCATGAAAAAAAAAAGATTATTAAATGAAATTACTACTAATATGAAAACTAATATATTAATAGTTTTTATTAAATAAGTGAATATTTATTCGAAGTTATTAGGCTAATAAAATTTATTATTGTATCAATAATATGTTAATAATTAATTAAAATTAATATCTACATATAAATAAGTTCATTCAATGGTTATTTAATAGTGAAAATTGTCATACTGATTTAAATTAAAAAGCATAGTTATAAAATATTAAAATTTATTCAAATTATTTAAAATATTTTATTCATGATGTGTTTAAAAATTAAAGTTTTTAAATTTTATAAGTATTGAAATTTGAATGTTAAAGGTCGTATCTCAAGAATAAATGTATTTATATGTTAAATTAAACTCCGAATTTAAGACGGTGATGATTTATCACTAAATTAATGCTGTTAATGCATTAACCATTAATGTTGTTAACCCTTAGACCATTGCAGTCGCATACTTCGTAGTTCACATTACTATATATTGATATGCCATTGCCACCTCTCAATTTACAAGACTATTTATCTCTGCAAATCTTCCATTCACATCCAAACTCAATCAACAAATTCAGTTTTTTTGAGGTTTTTCTTGTACATGTTTTTGGTACATATGGCCACCAATTTGAAAAATCTTTTCATCATCTTTGTAATGCATCAGATTTTAGCCATCCATTACTGTCCAGGCATCTGCTGCTCCGCACAGAACGTTTCTGCTGTTTTTATTTTTGGAGATTCTCTGGTTGATGTAGGAAACAACTACTACGTTAACACACTTGCAATGCCAACGTTCCCAAATGGTATTGACTTCGTCCATGGAGCTCCATCTGGACGATACACCAATGCTAGAACTGTTACCGACATTATAGGTAAGTTGGTTTTGCTCTCTTTATTTTTAACCTTACAAAATTATTATATTATTAGAACAACTTATTTAGATTTGTTTTGTCAGAAGAGGAATTGGGTTTCAAGAATTTCACTCCTCCTTACCTGAATCCGAACACCACAGGGGACGTGGTTTTGAAAGGTGTCAACTATGCCTCCTCTGGATCAGGAATTCTTAATTCCACCGGAGCTGTCTTTGTAAGATTGCTTCTTTCTTCCTCTCTTATCTTTACATGGTAAAGGATTTCATTTTCGCGAGTGGAGTTGGATGAGTTGGTAAAAATCGAATACTTGGCTTGTAATGTCAAACTTTAGTTCTCACTGACACTACTCCTTATTTAATTATATGTAAATTCAATATAAGTTTAAAATGAAACATTCAGTCTTTCCTGATTCTAGAATGAAGAAACCTCTCTTCATCCTAAACTTTTGAATACAAAAAAATAAAAAAAAAAATCACTTTCCATGTTGACATTGATGAATGTAGTATTCATGCATTATTTTTGTAGGGTGCTCCAATTTGCATGGACGAACAAATCAATAACTTCGCAAAGACTAGGCAATACATCATCTCAAGAATTGGTGACCCAGCAGCTAAAGGACTGTTTACACAGGCTTTATACTTCGTTGCAATCGGAGCAAATGATATCTTCTCGGGGGAGGCTTTCACTTCTGCTAATGATAGTTATTTGGATCATTTAATGTCCAAATTTAAAGCCCAACTCACAGTAAATATATATTTCTTCAAGCCAACTCCTATATATATTTTCAACCATTTGTTATTAATTTGCAATTCTATTTCCCTGTAGGGTCTTTATGATTTGGACGCCAGAAAGATTATAGTGACAAATGCACCGATGGTTGGCTGCACTCCATTTGAGAGAGATTTACATTCATCCGGAGATGGTTGTGTTGATTTCCTGAATGAGTTAGCCAAGCTGTATAACATTAGGTTGAAGAGCCTGCTGCGAGAGCTCACAACAAATCTTTCAGGATCAACATTTGTTTATTTAGATACTTATGCCATGTCCGAGAATATCTTACAAAACTATAGATCATATGGTAAATTATTGAAATTTTGGAACTATTGTGTGAAATTTGCATTGTTATAAATCTGCCATTCTTTGATGCCCTTGTTTTTTATTTTTTTTTTGTTTTCAGGATTTGAAAATGCAGAAATTGCTTGTTGTCAGGCAGTTGGACAACATGGTGGATTAGTCCCATGTGGTTCCTTTTCTCGAGTATGTCCAGACAGAACCAAGTATGTGTTCTGGGATCCATTCCATCCAACAGACTCTGTTAACTTGATTATGGCGAAGTTTGTACTAGATGGTGACCTCAACTATGTTTCACCCATGAACATTCGACAACTCGTGAATTCATGACCAACCTTTAAAAATGCATTGAATTATTAGATGTGAAAAGAAGATCTATATCATGAAACTCACCAATTGAATAATAAATATTGCACTCCTGCTTCATTTGATTCTAAAACAGAAAACGGGGTGCAGAAATATTGATAATCTATGCATTTGTACTGTGTCTTGGGGATCTAAACTGGATTCCTTTAGATTCCTAATCCTTTATTTCAAGTTTCAATGCCTCGAGTAATTCAACTGGCTTGCTACTTTACAGTAAGTTCAGTTCCTACATATGAATATTTCCAGCTAGTTTACAATAATTGAGTGTACGGTTATAATTAAAGTTTTTTTTTTGGGGGGGGTTAAAGGTTATAGTTAATTAGATTTGAGATGTTCAGTTTGGCAAAGACAAAAAAAAAAAAGGTGAGAAGCATTAATCAAAGGTTGGTCCAAGTGATAAAAATATTTTTTTTATTATTTAAGTTAGAATCAATTCAAAGATTGTAAAAATATAATTTTTAAAAAATTCATTAGATTTAACATAAAAAAAAAGTATTTCACAAAGTCCATAAAAAAAAAAAATCAGAAAATATAAGTAGCCCTAATTGGTATATACTGATATAGGGAAAGGAAAGCATTCTTTAATTAGGTGAAGTGTTGAAATCATTTAAATAACACTTCACTTCTAATGACAAACAATAATCTTTGCTACCAACATAATAAATCCTTCATTTTTATTTTCTATTTTGCTGCCCTCATAATTCTTAGATTTCAATTGATAATTTACAATACCAAAAAGGTCATTTATCTATTTTTTTTAGACAATAATAAATTATCACCTCAATTAAGTTTCTTCAATTTAAAAAAAAAAAAAAAAAACTAAAAATTGTAAAGTCAAAACCAACTTAAACTAAAGAAATTTAATTTGAAAGGGAAAAAATATCATAAAATTTTTCTTTAAGATAATCAACTGAGAAAATTAAAATTTTTTTTTTAAATAAACCAATTATTTTTTCTCAAAAACCTTTCAACTGTAGCTTTCTCGCTTGAATTTCAAACCTCATTGAACCCTTTTCCACTTTCCCTTGTAAGATCTTATGTCTATATCAAAAAAATAAAGAAAAAGCAAAAGGCAAAAGAGAAGCCCAACAAAAGAGTGATTCTGAAGAGTAAACAAAGGGAAAGCAATAGAAAGGGAAAGAGAGAGAGCCTCTCAAATCCCAGATCTCTCTTTGCTTTCTTTTTGAAACCCAAAATCCCTTATCAAAAATTCTAAGAAAATGGTGCAGAAATCATTAATCTATGCATTTGTATCTCGTGGGGAAGTTATATTAGCAGAGTACACTGAATTCAGTGGGAATTTCAATTCCATAGCTTTCCAATGCCTCCAAAAGCTTCCTTCTTCCGACAACAAGTTCACTTACAACTGTGATGGTCACACCTTCAATTACCTTGTCGACAATGGCTACAGTTAAGTTTTTTATTTCTTTTTCAAGAAATTTAAATTGTGGGTTGCTTGATTTTTTAAAGTTTGGGTCTTTGGTAAATGAGTGGAAAAAATATAAATGAAAGAAGAAAATTTTGGGGCTTTCTTCTTTTCCTTTTAGAGTATAATTTGATCATTGCATAAAAAATGGGATTTGAGATCTAGAGGGAAAGTTTAGATTTGGGTTTCTCCTATTGGATTAGTTATGAGAAAATTGCTTGTTAGAAATGGAAAAACATAGAAACTTTGTGGTTTATTGCTGTTGTTTTTTAGGTTAATTAAGTTTATCTCTGGTTATTGTGCATTATAGTGTTGGAAACTACTCGAATTGATTGCTCAGTAAATGAGGGTTAATTATGGAGATCTTGGGTTTTTTTTTTTTTTTAACATAAAATTTGCCTATGTGTGTTATATTGGGTTCGTGCAATATGTAGGTTGTTGAAGGCCCATTTGCATGTGTGTTAAACAGAAGAAGGGATTTAAGAATCAGTTAAATTTTATTGTTTATGCATTCTGCTTCGATGAAGTCTAATTGACTCCAAGAATTGTTGAAAGAACCGTTATTGTGTTATTATTTGCATTCTTACTGACGGCTCCTTTCTATTATGTTGGTGGACTGGCTGACTTTTCAATGTTGCAGCATATTGTGTTGTTGCAGATGAGTCAGCCGGAAGGCAAGTACCTATTGCTTTTTTGGAGCGTATCAAGGATGATTTTGTGTCAAAATATGGTAGTGGAAAGGCTGCTACAGCTCCTGCCAACAGCTTGAACAAGGAATTTGGGTATGTACCTCTGACTAAAATCATGGAAATGCCTAATGGTTTCTTTTCTTATTATTGTAGCATATATAACATGCTATTAATTACAGGCCAAAACTAAAAGAACATATGCAGTACTGTATTGAGCATCCTGAAGAAATAAGCAAGCTTGCTAAGGTTAAAGCTCAGGTTTCAGAAGTCAAAGGTGTTATGATGGAGAACATTGAAAAGGTAAATGTGCTTTGTTGGCTGTACTTTGGTTATGCACTTATTGTTATGTCAGCTATTTCTAATAGATGGAATAACACTAGGGTAGATGATATGGGCTGTTGCACTTAGGTTTGCCTTTGATTTACTCTTAGGATGATCTTTACTACATAGTCATTGTGAAGATGTCTTTGATCACATTATTAATTCCATGATACTTTTTTATTTTGTATAATACTTCCTCTTTTAAATCTTAAGGGTCGTTCTGAAATTTGTGTGGGATCGAATTTTTCAAGTAGTTTCAACTGTTTGCTGGTTCTGCCAAATGCCAATATTTATCCAATGCCAATGTGGAACTATCTGGTTTTCAAATATCAAATTTTCTGGTAGGCTTTTGTTTTGGTTGATGTTGCCATCCTGCAATACTTCCAGAAAATTAAAATGATAACACTTTTGGTAATGAACCAACTTACGAGAAACATGTTTTTGGTCATTTTTACTGAATTTCCTTCCTGCAGGTGTTAGATAGAGGGGAAAAGATAGAGCTACTAGTGGATAAGACTGAGAATCTTCATCAACAGGTCAGTGACTCTCTCTGTTTGTCTCTTTTTCTCTTTCAATCGGTTATCCACTCAAATTTAAATATGTAATAACTTCAACTAAGTTTGTTGTTTCTATTGATGTTGTGTGAGAGTTGTGATTTGGTTTTGAGTACTCTGTAACATTATGAATTATCCCTAGAGGGAGTTTTATTTCTCAATATGTTATTTGCCAAAGAAGAACGTAGGAAGGAATGATGGATATACAAGAAAAGAGACATGCTTTTTTGTAGCATTAGAGGTTAGTTTATGCTAGAGAGCTGCAGAACTTGATCAATAAACCACTATGCAAGGAGATATAACTTTAACCTGTTTTAGCTGCAGAATTTGACGTTTATGATTTTCTGAAATGATTCGATTGCAGGCTCAAGACTTCCGAAATACTGGGACGAAAATCAGAAGAAAAATGTGGCTACAAAACATGAAGATCAAGCTGATTGTTCTAGGAATACTGATTGCCTTGATCCTCATCATTGTTCTCTCTGTTTGCCATGGTTTCAACTGTGGAAAATGAGTGCTGTTCTTGAACAGGATTTGTTTTCACCAGAGCTTTTGTGATAATATTGTGAGGAAAAGATCAAAATATATATAATGACTTCTATGTCAGAAAAGATTAGCAATCACCAGATGTTTGGTGCAAGTTTTTTTTGAATGTGAACAAACCCTATAAGTTTTTATTGCATTACATGAATGTGCTTTTTGCAACGATCATATTGGTTGTTAACCATCAAGCTGCACAGTCAGTTTGCAAAGTTTTGTTCTGGACGGGAACTTGTTTGATGTTCTATTTTTAGCTCAAACTTGCGAGCCATTGATTGTCTGTTTGAAGTTTCCAAAACATACGTGAGAATGCTTCTTTAGTCCAATAAACCCATTCGTTCTTAGCTCAAAGTTTTGCACCAATCAACAGGAATGGTAATTGCTTTGGGAGAAATACTATTCAGATCTGACATTTGACTTGAAAATGGAGACACAGTTCTATACTCAAACGAGGAAAGAAGGTTGCATGTTGAATCATGAAAAAACGGTTGTTAGTTCCAAAACTTGATTGACGAACAGAGATTAAGTAATAAAATATTCTTAAAGCTGCTTGCCAAATGGTGGCCCAGTGGAGATCACAGGTTTTTAATCATTTACAATCTACTCAAGGAGTTCCTGGGTTCAACTCTAAGGGCCAGCCAAATAGATTGCCCGAATAAAACCACTTGGCCACTTCCCATCGAAGAGCCTATACTTCTGGCAATCCCAAATGCTCAAAATCCAAACCATTTTCCAGTTTCGATCTCTCTCGCAACAAAGAAAATCTAAAGAAACTATCGCTTTCTTCTCTTATACACGAGTCTGATTCTCTGTGGATTTGACAGGTTCATATAATCAGCTTCTGCCTCTTCATCTTTGGTTTGACCAAACTCATTATGGCTATTAAAACTATTCAAATGCACCCTTTTTCCTCCACCATTAATCCTGAACTTCACTCTTGTTCTCTCCTTTGTCAATTTACCACCATTACTACCATTTCTTTTCTCTTCAAAACTATCACCTTGACACCCCGAAACCGAGCTAGAATTCTCCCACAATTCTTCCCCAATAACTCTTCTATTGCATTTCTCATAACTATATACATCAGGAAGCCCTGGCAACCATTCTGGGATATGAGTACCTTTCTGCAAATTCCATGGCAATGCTTTTACCAAGTCTCTTTCCCTTTCTGTTGCTCTCTCAATGGGCTTGGTTCATCCGTGGAGCTGACAAAACCTAACAAATCTTCCAAAACACTGGACTTCAACAAGCAATTGTTGTGATAGAGAGTAGATGCACCCGTGAAACCGCTCTGGAGGGAAATGTCGTCGAGGGCATTGGTAAGGTCTAGGAGGTTGGATTGGGTACGGCTGGCAGATTGGAGAATGATACAGCCGGCTTGGCCAGGGTTTCCATGTACTTAGTAGCTACCAGGGTCAGGGTTTCCAGGGCAAGAACCTGGCTAAGACTAAAACCAACTGATTTGCAGATCTGAGAAGCTACTACTTTGGTTATATTGAACAAGAAATCCCCTGGATTTGTTGTTTCTTGGTGGGTATTTGATTTTCTTTTAGATTTTCGTTTTTTCATTGTGGTGATATGGATTAGGTTCTAATTCAAGAAGGAAAGGAAGGGGAAGAAGATTTACTAAATAACTAACTTTTGGGTTCTAAATTGGTTTATACAGGAGCAAAGTAATTGGGCCGCGCCCAATTAACCCAAGGAGTTTTCATAACTTGTAGATGTTTTTTCTTTTGTTTCTTGAAGACCTAATGTTTTGCTAATATTTTCAGTCAATATGTACTTAAAACAAATTTATTTGCTATATCTAACCAGTAACCACTAGATTATAGGTGTCATTTTTAAATGAGTGTACCTGAATTTCTTTCTAAAACCAAAATATGTTCAAATTTTCTTCTTTGTTCATATGTTTAAATCCAATCATTTTAGAGCGAGCACCCCACAATCCATTATTATTATTATTAACTTGAATAGGCAAAATAAATTAAAGGCTAGAATATTAAATGAGCCATTGCAGTCCAAGCTTTGTGATTACAAAGACGATGCACCAAAAGGCTTGCTTCATTCAGTAATCCAACCAATACTCAGAGCCTTCAAGCTTCTAATTTGCTGGGATTCGGATACAAGCCTTGAGCTGAGCTTAAAGTGCTAGAACTTCGTTTCCATATGACCAATGTCCCCAACACTGAAATCCAAGCACATTCGAGGATTAACCCAAGTTACAGAACTGAGCAAGCTGGTTTCCTTAAAAAACAAGTGAATTGCCTTTGTTCAATGGCTGCAATTTTTCTACTACCCATCACCATTATGTTAGCTGCTATCCCTTTTTTCAACCAACAAATGTCTTTCTTTCGAACTAAGATTTGGTAGCGAACTTTGCACAACTTTTGTCATTTGTATCTAATTTAACAACTACGAAGATTTTGAAAGACAATGAGATAGTCTTCAGGCTTGATTCTGAACCAGAGATGGGCTGTATTCTGTCTCGGATTTGCTTGTCAAAAACTGGGCTGGGCTTTAATTAGCCTCGTCATCGGCTTGATTTTGTCATTTTGAGGCACAATGATTACCGTTATCCATTCTTTTCAATGATAATAAATTCAGTCTAAGTTCCACTACCATATAACCATGTAATTCAAACCAGCAGGAAATTTCGTTTTGCTTTCCTTTCTTAGATAATAAAGGTCGAAAAGGGTATCTCAGTTAAAACTGAAAATTTTAAACACGAAACTATATAAAAAAAAATTAAAAATAATTCAATTTAAAAGTTTTAAAAATTTTATTATAAATTTAAAAAATATATATTACATATTTAATATTTAAATAAAAATTGAGATACGATAATTTATATATTTATATATGTGTAAAAATACTTACAAGACAAACCACTTTACAGTCAGTCCTACTACTATCAAACTTAACAGTTTTCTTCAATTTGATCAGTGCGAGAAGATTGAATTTGCAAAATCTCTTCATTAAAGCCAAACTCTAATACCTATACCTCAGAAAGGGCAAAAACAAAATCTTGTCAATGTATTATTGGTTGGTATATATAAATTATTCAGCTGCAATAATGTCTGATTCCTTATCAATTTCAAAGTCAATGAGCATTGACAGTCCACAAAGAAAAATGTAAATTTCAATGGTTATTTGAAACTGTCAGCTGTGCTGATCAATGCTGACCAAAAAGAAAAAATAGTTCCCCAAAACTTAATCTGAAAAACCCACCTTGGACCACCATTATTACAAGATAAGCACATAAAATAGTCCACAGCTAACCATGCACAATGAAGAGCGTTTGCCAATGAAAGGAAAGAAGTTTGCATTATTAGGTATCACCCACCAGTACAGCAGATTCAAGTTTAGGAAAATGATTATTGACTTGACCAGGATTTGTTTCTCTTGGGTCCACTGGCTTGACTTCACCTTAATTTCTCAAATAAGGGGCCAAAGCCCAACCAGATTAAAGTCTTATGGGCCACAATGAAGTTGGTTCTACCCCCATAACTCAAATATTAATTGCCTGGTGGTTGTGCCTGTGATTTCTTTCACCATCTGTCTTTGGTCAAGTGTCATGAGCTTCATTCATTTGGATGCTTCTCTCTCAAGCCAAGACTTCAAACATGTCATAATCAGTGCAATTGCGGATCCAATCCTTTGTTTTCTTTTTTTTTTTTCTATTTCATTTTTATTTCAGTTCTAAACACCACCAAATCCATCTGCCTTCAAAATTCTCCCATAAAATCATTTCCCTATCAAGGGACCCATCTTATGCAAACCAGAAAATGTGTCATAAAATCAAAATATAGAACCAAAAAAGCCAAACCAATCTTTAGTAGGTTTCTGCCCCCATGCCATATTTAACACAGCTACAAAACTTTGGGTTAACATCTCTCAGGAATCAGGTTCCATAGCTGTTAATAATTCTGTCCCCCTCCCATTTCAAAATTTTCTTCATAAGACAGACAAGTTCAAAACTAGATGATAATGCATGTGCTTTGCCTCTCTGTCCACTTCATAAATTCTGCACAATCAACGACCTCTGCTCTCTTTCCTGCCAAGGTTCAGATATGGGTCAGTCAGCAATCAAATACTCGAAAGATTTAGACCAAAAAAAATGGGGTTGTTTCATTAATTTTTTTACAGGTCTTGATTTCTGCAGTAGCATGTGGGGATTGGTTAATCATTAATGCGACAAAATTGAAGTTATCAGTCCTACAATCTATGCTATAAATGATCTTCCCACACCCACAAAAAGAAACAAACCTTTAATTCTAGCTTCAACATTTATTAAACCACTATTTTTCTCGCTTTCAACTTCTGATTGTTATAATTATTATAATTATTGAGGGAAAAAAACAAAAGTTTGTGAAACAAAGTAAAGGACCCACATTACATTTACATAAATTAAGGTATAACATACTCCTAGTCCTACATGATTTTTTTTTTTTTACAAGAGATCCCTTCCTTTTTTTTTTTTTGCCTGCTCTTGTTGTCATCCACTCTAAGATAACATATCAAACAAGCTACATTTCACACTTTTCCTCATTTTCTCTCTTTGTTAAGTATTTTTTTTCTTTCTTATCCAAGGAGATCATGTGGATTGTAGGCATTATTTTTCTAATCACAAGAACAAAAAAAAAAATTGTTAATGATGATGGTTGTGATGATTTGAGCATTAAAGCATTAAAAAATTAAGCTAGTTAGTGCATTTCAATTTAATACTAATCAAACACATTGAAATCACAATAATTTTTATGCAAATCTCAAAACCATGGATGAGGAGAAACATTGAAGAAAAAGATATGATAGGTTCTTTGTTTTTTTTTTTTTTCTTTAAAAATTTGTCAGCAAACAAATGATTGATACGGCGGCAAGTGGTGCCATACGTGACAGGCCACAATTGTGCATGAGAGATGAGTTGATTCTTTGTCACATATATTTTTATCTAATTTTACTTGACATAGTTGTCCAATGCCAGCTTAATGCAAATAACCCATATAATAGACAGGAATGAGAAAAAAATAGAAAAAATAAAAATTCAATTTGAAATCATAATATTTAAATTTATTTTTTTAATTTGGTTTCAATCAAGATCAAATATTAAATATATATTAAATTTGAATTAAATTTTGAATCGAGATGTGAAAAATAAAAAAAAAAGAATCGAATTGAATTGAATTATATATTTTTAAAATTTTATATTTTTAAAATTTTATAAAATAAAATAATTGTTATATATATAAATCTATTTAAATATATTAAAATTTTTATTAAAATAATATATAAAAAACAAAAAAAAAAATTTTAAAACTAATAAACCTAATCCATAAAATTTAATTCGAATCAATTTAAAACAAAATTAATTTTGATTCAAATTAAATTTTAAAAATTTATAATTTTATATATTATTTTAAAAAATTAAATTAAATTAAATTCGTTTTAAACTTTTATCTAAAACCAATAAGCATCCATTCTTTGATAAAAATATTAAAATCGAATCTCGAAGTTTTTGTGCTTCGATCATTTGTGGTCCTCCAAAAAGAAAATGGGGGAAGTAGAAAATAATGGGACATTGAAGAATGCCTTCACATGAATATAATGGAGTAGGTTTGATTAGTTTGGCATATATTTTGAACCTGTCTTTTCTTCTAAAAACAAACAAATTTGAGTATTTCATGAATCCCAAGTTTCTGCTTTCACATTTGATTTTTTAGGCTTGGTGGGCTTATGGTTACCTGCTTTCACAGAAAACAAAAAGAAACAAAAAAAAAAAAGTATATTTCACTTCAAATTAATTTAATTAAGGTCATTACAGCAATTGATTTTCTTCAAATTTGGTTTTGTGTCTATCGTTTAGGTCAGTGAACTGACATTGATCTTATCAGATTTCTTACCAGGTTCCACGACAACAACGATAAAATCTTATGAAACAGGAGGTTGTTGAAACGTCTAATCTGTTGTTTTCTGTAGTTCAAGACCCCCCAAAAAGAGATTGGATTGAATTGTAACCCTTGATTTCGTCATCAAAAGTCACCATAACGAATTCTGCCAGAGCATTCTCGAACATGAAAAGAAAAAAAAAATTGGGTTTAGTTCGGTTCTTCGATTTTAGTCATCCCTTGATTTTTTTTTTTAATTCCTAATTTATTTTCGATTTTTTAATCTTTATCTATGTAACTCGTCTGAGAGAAATATTAAATTTGTTTAAATTCGTAATCTTTATAAATCTGATTTTTATACATATTATTTAAGTTAATTTTTGATTAGTTCTGATCTTAAAATAATAAAAAAAAGAATAAATAAGTAATTGATACAATTAATTGATAAACATGTGTATTTGTGATAAGAAAATAATTGAAGCCGACTGATCAGATGTATGACAAAGCATGTGATTAATTAGGTTTTATCATTCCTTTCAGAACTCTAGCTGGACTTGGAATTTGGAAAGAAATTTATGAAACAAGAGAGAATTACGTGCAAAATAAAGAGAAATGTATTTTCTACGTTTGTACTTTAATGCTAAAATGAAAAGTCAAAATAAAAAAAATAAAATAAAATAAAATGATTAAATAGT